ACTCTATTATTAAAGAATATTCCGTTTAAAAATATCATAATTTTTATGTAATATACAAACAATAAAATCATGCTAAAGAAATAAAACTTTTATTTTTTTTATTTTTTGCATAATACAAACCAAACTTTCATTTACTGACGTTCGTAACATCATTCATATAAAACCAAAATCTGGTGTAATAAGTATGCATGATATTGTAAATTATTTACACAATCAGTTGAACTTTACGATGTTTGTCTTTACTATACAGTTCAATTGGGATTAACAAAAAACAACAAAAAAGAACATTTTCCATCAATACTTTACTCATCATACTTGTAATTTTTTACACGATTAAGAAATAACATATTGTGTCTTACTTCATGCATGTGTTACTTACCTCCCTGTGCTATCACGACCACCGATAACATAAATACGGCCACGAATAGTTACAACACCATGGTGTGCTCGAGCACAGATCATGTTCCGTTTACTTTCTCATTCTTTCGTGTCGAGGTCAAGTACATAAGTAGTTCCTGTCAGTATCATTTCACCACTCTTACTTGAATCTGGATCGTATCCACCTGGATTGAAAAAAAAAAGTTGTTATAAATTAGTTGCGTACATACCGTCATACAGGGCCCGGAAGTCAAAAGGTCCCAAGCCAGGAGAAAGACAGTAAAGATAAATATAAAAAACTTTCTTACTCTACGCACACACAAATAATCCATAGTCAGAAGTCTACGGAGAATCAGCATTGATAGGACTGATGGGTTTGATTGCTATGGGGCTTTACTTATACCACAGACTAATTTATACATTGATTCATTGGAAAGCCTGATTTACTAGAAGTATCTAGTGGAGCTTCTAGTGTAAACAAAACATGATAGTTTGTGTCTGGCGAACTCCACATACTACATTCTTTCATCATATATACACATTATAAATCTATCTTTACATTACAAAGTCAAGTTAAAGCACAAAGGAAACATAATACAAATGCTTCACGTTGTTCAACATTAGGAAAACATGACAGTAACGATTGACATTAAATGCATACTTATATTTTTGCGTTGTCAGCTATTGTTTTATCACATCCATTTGCTTCACTATGAGATACCATGTTTATCATAACTGTAACAATTTTACCTTAACAACACAAATTATGGATAAACAATAGAGATTATACATAAAATAATGTGTGCTGTCAGCCGAGTTCCAGTTTACAACAATTAACTCATAATGTATTCTTTCATTTTATACTAAATACCATAATATGACAAGAAAACTGAAAAATATATATACAAGTATGAACACTTCCTATTAATCTTACAATCAGAACAACCATACTTTAAGAATTATTGTTATATAGTGTATTGTGATATTTTTTCACTTCATATATACATGTCAATATATATCCTCAAGTAATTCAACGGGAAGCACGTGCTACACTGTTGGCATTGAATCATACGCTAACAGAACTAATATTTATAGAATTAATTGGTATTTACCCCTCCTTGTCCTCTCTATATAGAATGAACTTGTGATATGCCATGCTTCTTTCCAACACGTCTTTTTATAATTGTACATCTGGCTAGATATGGAGATAAAATAGCTACTTGTCAACCGACTAATCTCCAAATACCCTTGGGTTTTAGGGACCTTTATACATGATAACATATACCTAGTATGGTCATAAATTGTAAACTTGAAGCACAAGGTAATAAACTGTAAAACGTGGGATGGAATTTAAAGTCTGTATATTTTAGTCTGTGCTTATATACAATACACACGGTCGTGATGGTAGTTTTTCTCAAAACTCGAAATAGGCATTCAAATGTTTAGTAAAGTGCATCATAAAAGAGAAAACAATGCATAAAATAAACTTCTCAAAATGTGAGGT